GTCATACAGATCTTATTAGGAAACAGAAAATTTTCAAATAAATCTGTCACTCCAATGATATTATATGCTAAGATATAACCCAGATCTAATTAATAATTAATAATGTAATTAACTTCAAAATGTCTAATAATATAGCTTATAATCATTACCACTTAGAAATAGATAATTTTCAAATAAATCTGTCACTCCAATATTTTGTTGTGAGATATGACATTATGCTTAGTCATAAAAAAGATAACAAGAGGAAAATATTTTAAAATTCCACTTTTGGATATTAAAAATGGTGATAACTCACAAAGGAGATATACTAATATCTTGAAAATTGAACTAGACCTTCATTAAGTCCCAGGAAACAACATATTTAAATTTGAAAAAAAATTGTTAAAGCGTTTTCATGTTATTCTGCTGACAAGCTGTTTGGCAGCCGCCCGTAGATCCGCCCAGCCGCCCGCTGTACGTCACAATTTTAATAACCGATATTTCCTTCGAAAATCCAGTTAAAAATGAAAAAAAAAAGGTAAACTTTGTTATTTAAGGGCAATAACTCCTATCAAAAGTCGTCTGACAGTTATGACGAATATAGACAACTGGTGGAGCTCAACATACTGAACAATTTTGCCACTGTCAGATTTTCTTTATTTATAACGGTTTTCAAAATAAAAGACAAAACTTGCATTTTACCCCTCTGTTCTATTTTAAGCCATGTTGGCCATCTTGGTAGGCAGGTAGGGTCATCAGACACATTTTTCAAACTAAATACCCAATGATGATTTTGGTTAAATTTGGCCCAGTACGTTCAGGGGAGAAGATTTTTGTAAAAGTAAACAGACGACAGTGACAACGGAAGCCAAGTGATGAGAAAAGCTCACTAGGCCCATTTATTCAAAATAAATACAGTGCGTATATGGTTACAGCATTAAAATGATCATACTTAGACTTTGTTAGACCAAATTTATTAAAGCGATATTTTTGTTATTTGCCATCAAACTGCTTTTAACACATTAAAAAAATGTAAATGATTATGTTCATATTTAACAAATTCTATTATGATTTTTGTGGTACATTGTACATGGTGTATGAATTATCCAACAGCCCTCAAAAATACTTTAGTTTATTTGTTTTATGCATGATATAAAACCACTTCCAGCTGATCTCGGGAGGAATTTTTCCACTTTCTGAAGTATTAAATAGTCTCAATTCTTGTGACTATCATTATTCTGTTGAATGCAGTGCTTAAAATGGCTTTAATAGTTATGAATAAATTACTTTTGTTTGTATCACTTTGTAGATCCATGATGCACTACACTAAGCGTACATTTATTCCCAATCACTCTCATCTCTTCTCCACATTATAAGAGAGCTGTGTAGACCACATGTTGATATTTTAGAATTGTCACACTATTCCTGATGGGACAGACCTGTTTTCATATTTCTGTAGCATGTCCTACAGCATTAACTATGTAGTAGACCTATATAAAAGAAGAGATTTCAAGATTTCATATATTCAGAGTTCAAAAGTAAATAAAATGCTCCGCTGATATGACCGCAGAGGTTGAACCCTGAACAGTTGGGGCAAGTATGGACACAACATTCAAGCTTGATACAGCACTGAATTTGGATTGTGATTAAATATTTGACACAGCATAGGTTTCTGACACAGAATGAATGTGGTCTAAGAACTTAAAAATTCTTAATTTACCTATTCAAACCATATCATTATTATTTGCTTTTATATATAAATCAGAAATAATCAATTTAATATGGACAATTTTAAAGAAAAAAAAAGGAAAAAAAAATCCCCCCCCCAAATTTTTTGAACCCTCTTATGATTCATCACCCCCAAACTCAATCCCAACCTTCCCTTTGTGGTATTGTACCTTGCAGTACAATTTCAGAGAGATCCATACACTTGAACACAAGTTATTGTCTGGAAACTAGAAAAATGCATGTTTTTTGGTCCCTTTTTGGCCCCAAATTCCTAAACGTTTAGGGCAATTAACCCAAACTCAAACCCAGCTTTCCCTTTGCGATATGGAACCTTGTAGTACAATTTCAGAAAGATCCATAGACTAACACACACGTTATTGTCCTGAAACTAGAAAAATGCTTGTTTTTTTGCCCCTTTTTGGCCCCTTATTCCTAATATTTTGAGGCAATTACCCCCAAACTCAATCCCAGCCTTCCCTTTGTGGTATGGTACCTTGCAGTACAATTTCAGAGAGATCCATACACTTGAACACAAGTTATTGTCTGGAAACTAGAAAAATGCTTATTTTTGGCCCCTTTTTGACCCCTTTTCCTAAACGTTTTGGGCAATTACCCCCAAAGTCAAACCCAGCTTTCCCTTTGTGATATGGAACCTTGTAGTACAATTTCAGAAAGATCCATAGACTTACACACAAGTTATTGTCATGAAACTAGAAAAATGCTTCTTTTTTGCCCCTTTTTGGCCCCCAATTCCTATAATTTTGAGGCAATTACCCCCCAAAATCAATCCCAGTCTTCCCTTTGTGGTATGGTACCTTGCAGTACAATTTCAGAGAGATCCATACACTTGAACACAAGTTATTGTCTGGAAACTAGAAAAATGCTTATTTTTTGGCCCCTTTTTGGCCCCTTATTCCTAATTATATAAACCTTTTGGGCAATTACCCCCAAACTCATACCCAGCTTTCCCTTTGTGATATGGAACCATGAAGTACAATTTCAGAAAGATCCATAAACTTACACACAAGTTATTGTCTTGAAACTAGAAAAATTGTTGTTTTTGCCTCTTTTTTGGCCCCCAATTCTCAAATTTTGAGGCAATTACCCCCAAATCAATCCCAGCATCCCCTTTGTGATATGGAACCTTGTGGTACAATGTCAGAGAGATCCATATACAAACACACAAGTTATGTCTGAAAGTTACAAAAATGCTTATTTTTGGCCCCTTTTTGGCCCCTAATTCCTTAACTGTTGGTACCATAACCCCCAAAATCAATCCCAACCTTCCTTTTGTGGTATTGAACCTTTTGGTAAAATTTCATAGAGATCCATTCACTTAAACTAAAGTTAGAGTGCGAAAACTAATTTGTCCTCAGACGACGACGACGCCAGACGACGACGACACCAACGTCATACCAACATACGACCGCAAAATTTTTTTTGCGGTCGTATAAAAATGGGTAAAGCCATAAAGGTGCTCCAAATTGGTCAATATAACCAACTGAAGCTTAAATCCATTTTTTAAATATTTAATATACATGTATATGATATTTGACTACAACTTGTTTATAGTGCGCATCGATGACATGATTTGATTTTGATTTTTGGTGGTTTAACGCCACTTTTAAGCACCGCTTTTGGGCTATTTCGTGGCGGCCAGTTTTTATTGGTGGAGGAAGCCAGAGTGCCCGGAGAAAACCACCGACCTTCGATAGGAAAAGTGACAATCCTAGTCAATTAAGATTGTAGTCGAGTGCACCCGCACGGGCGGGGTTTGAACTCACAACCTCAGTGTTGATTGGCTAGTGATTACAGTAGTAACTACTTATACCACTCGGACACCGAGGCCCCTCGATGACATGAAGAAGCAGAAGTTTTGATTGATTTTAAATATCCTCTTATTACATGTGTCTTGTTATTAAAGTTTGTCAAACGTAGATCCGTACATTCTTGTGTTCCCAAGCGCGACATATTAACCCCCTTTTAACAAAAATATACCTTGTTCTTTTTTTATGATTTTTATGGGAAAAAGATAAATGGAATGCAAGTAAAATCAGCAGAAAAGTGTTGTTGCACGATTAATCTGTCACAGTTTTGCGTGAAATGCAGTAAATTTAATCAAAGAAACGTTTATTTCGACAGAGTAAGTAACCTTTATATTGACTATGGTAAAAACAAGAGGCTCTCAAGAGCCTGAATCGCTCACCTGTGTTTCAGAGGAGAAGATTTTTAAATGTTAGCAAACTTGATGAACAAATTGTGTAAAATTGTCTTTAAAAGGCAATAACTCCTTAAGGGGTCAATTAACAATTATGGTTATATTAACTTTTTTGTAGATCTTACTTTGCTGAACATTATTGCTGCTTACAGTTTATATATATCTATAATAATATTCAAAATAATAACCACAAGAGGCTCTCAAGAGCCTGAATCGCTCACCTGTATTTCAGAGGAGAAGATTTTTAAATGTTAGCAAACTTGAACAAATTGTGTAAAATTGTCTTTAAAGGGCAATAACTCCTTAAGGGGTCAATTGACAATTATAGTCATATTTACTTTTTTGTAGATCTTACTTTGCTAAACATTATTGCTGCTTACAGTTTATAAATATCTATAATAATATTCAAAATAATAACAAAAAACTGCAAAATTTTGTTAAAACTACCAATTCGGTGGCAGCAACCAACAATGGGTTGTTCGATTCGTCTGAAAATTTCAGAGCTGATAGATCTTGACCAATTGAACAATTTTATCCAATGTCGGATTTGCTCTAAAAGCTTTAGTTTTTGAGATATAAGCCAAAAACTGCATTTGACCCCTATGTTCTATTTTTAGCCATGGCGGCCATGTTTGTCGATGGATCAAAACTTCGGATACAATTTATAAACTAGATACCCTAAGGAACATTAAGTTAAAGTTTGAAGGTATTTGGTCCAGTAGTTTCAGAGGAGAAGATTTTTGAAATAGTTTACGACGACAGACGACGACGGACGACGACAGACGACGGACGACGACAGACGACGACGACAGACGACGGACGACGACAGACGCCAAGTGATGGCATAAGCTCAAATGGGGCCCTTCGGGCCCCGGTGAGCTAAAAAAAACTGCAAAATTTTGTTAAAACTATCAATTCGGTGGCAGCAACCCAACAATGGGTTGTTCGATTCGTCTGAAAAATTCAGGGCAGATAGATCTTGACCAATTAAACAATTGCACCGCTGTCACATTTGCTCTAAAAGATTTAGTTTTTGAGATATAAGCCAAAAACTGCATTTGACCCTTATGTTCTATTTTTAGCCATGGTGGCCATGTTTGTCGATGGATACAAACTTCGGATACAATTTATAAACAAGATACCCTAAGGAAAATTTATTTAAATTTTGAAGGTAATTGGCCCAGTAGTTTCAGAGGAGAATATTTTTAAATGTTAGCAAACTTGATGAACAAATTGTGTAAAATTGTCTTTAAAGGGCAATAACTCCTTAAGGGGTCAATTGACAATTATGGTCATATTAACTTTTTTGTAGATCTTACTTTGCTGAACATTATTGCTGTTTACAGTTTATATATCTATAATAATATTCAAAATAATAACAAATAAAATGCTTCGCTGGGCGCAGCTTGATACGACCGCAGAGGTCGAACCCTGAACAGTTGGGGCAAGTATGGACACAACATTCAAGCTTGATACAGCTCTGAATTTGGATTGTGATTAAATATTTGACACAGCATAGGTTTCTGACACAGAAAGAATGTGGTCTAAGAACTTGAATTTTTTTAATTTACCTATTATGGTCCAATGTCCAAAATCAAAATACATGGTTAGATTCAGCATATCAAAGAACCCCATATATTCAATTTTTGTTGAAATCAAACAAAGTTTCATTTTGGACCCCAACTTGGACAAACTTGAAAACTGGGCCCATAATCAAAAATCTAAACACGTTTAGATTCAGCATATCAAAGAACCCCAAGAATTCAATTTTTGTTAAAATCAAACTAAGTTTAATTTTGGACCCTTTGGACCTTAATGTAGACCAATTTAAAAAAACAGGACCCAAAATTAACAAGAGTGCACACGCTGAAATGTCTCGCCTTCTTTACTAATCATTGATATTATGTTGATAGTCCTAAATATAAAGCTTTATTACAACTGTCACATAAACTTAACATTAACCAAGTAAACTAAACATTGACCAATGAACCATGAAAATGAGGTCAAGGTCAGATGAACCATGCTAGGCAGGCATGTACAGCTAACAATTCTTCCATACAACAAATATAGTTGACCTATTGCTTATAGTTTAAGAAAAACAGACGAAAACACAAAAACTTAACACTGAGCAATGAACCTGGAAAATGAGGTCAAGGTCAAATAAAACCTGCGTGACTGACATATAGATCATAAAATATTTCCATACACCAAATATAGTTGAACTATTGCATATAGTATTAGAAAAAAAAACCAAAACTCAAAAACTTAACTTTGACCACTGAACCATGAAAATGAGGTCAAGGTAAGATGACACCTGCCAGCTAGACATGTACACCTTACAATCATTCCATACACCAAATATAGTTGACCTATTGCATGCAGTATTAGAAAGAAAGACCAAAACTCAAAAACTTTACTTTGACCACTGAACCATGAAAATGAGGTCAAGGTCAGATGACACCTGCCAGCTAGACATGTACACCTTACAATCATTCCATACACCAAACATAGTAGACCTATTGCATACAGTATAAGAAAAACAGACCAAAACACAAAAACATAACTATAACCACTGAACCATGAAAATGAGGTCAAGGTCAGATGACACCTGCCAGTTGGACATGTACACCTTACAGTCCTTCCATACACCGAATATACTATACCTATTGCTTATAGTATCTGAGATATGGACTTGACCACGAAAACTTAACCTTGTTCACTGATCCATGAAATGAGGTCGAGGTCAAGTGAAAACTGTCTGACGGGCATGATGACCTTGCAAGGTAAGCACATACCAAATATAGTTATCCTATTACTTATAATAAGAGAGAATTTAACATTACAAAAAATCTGCTTTTTTTTCAAGTAGTCACTGAACCATGAAAATGAGGTCAAGGACATTGGACAAGTGACTGACGGAAACTTCGTAACATGAGGCATCCATATACAAAGTATGAAGCATCCAGGTCTTCCATCTTCTAAAATATAAAGCTTTTAAGAAGTTAGCTAACGCCGCCGCCGCCGCCGGATCGCTATCCCTATGTCGAGCTTTCTGCGACAAAAGTCGCAGGCTCGACAAAAATCTAAATACACGGTTAGATTTGGCATAACAAATAAATAAATGTGGTCAAAGATTTTACAAATCTAATGCGCCATACCGGCATACTGTGCAATTAAACATTACTTCTTGAAATTTTTCAATATTTGAAATTTGAAAAAAAAATAATATCTGAAGAATAATTCTTTTTAATTTCTGAAATCTGAAATGAGAAAAAATTGACCCCCCACAATTTCTTCCCCCCCCCCCCCTTTTTTTCCCCCAAAAAATTCTTTCCCTCAAGATATGGTCATAATCTCAATTCAAATTTCCAATGGAGTTTGCAACCATAACTACCCATTTAAATTTACCATAGTGCTAACTTAATCTATTTTATAATAGAATTTAAAATATAGTGTTAAATCTTTCATATGGATATTTTTGTAAAAAAAAAAATGCAACATTTGCAGATATTTTTACTGGTCTTCCTTTATAAATATGCATTTCTTTAAACATAATTTAAAAGCAGTGTAAGGGAAGTAACCAAAACGTTGTATTTGGATTACCTCCCTTACACTGTTTTAAATTATCTTAATTGTTCATTAACCATTACTTTATACATAATTTAAAAGCAGTGTAAGGGAGATAATTTCAATGATGTATTTGATTTATCTCCCTTACACTGCTTAAAATTATGTTTTGTACTAAAGTATTTGTCCATTAACCAGGACAACCTTGTTTTTCCCCTTTTTTGCCCCTAATTCCTGAACGGATTGAGCCATAATCCCCCCCCCCCCCAAGCAAATCCTAACCATCCCTTTGTGGTATGGAAACTTGTAGTATAATTTCAGAGAGATCCATACACCGTTCCACAGTTATTGTCTGGAAACTAGAAAATGCTTATTTTCGGCCCCTTTTTGGCCCCTTATTCCTTAACTGTTGGTACCATAACCCCCAAAATCAATCGCCACCTTCCTTTTGTGGTATTGAACCTTATGGTAAAATTTCAAAGAGATCCATTCACTAAAACTAAAGTTAGAGTGCGAAAACCAATGTGTCTTCGGACGACGACGACGACGACGACGCCAACGTCATACCAATATACGACCTCAAAAACTTTTTGCGGTCGTATAAAAACTGCAAAATTTTGTTAAAACTACCAATTCGGTGGCAGCAACCCAACAATGGGTTGTTCGATTCGTCTGAAAATTTCAGGGCAGATAGATCTTGACCAATTAAACAATTTCACCGCTGTCACATTTGCTCTAAAAGATTTAGTTTTTGAGATATAAGCCAAAAACTGCATTTGACCCTTATGTTCTATTTTTAGCCATGGCGGCCATGTTTGTCGATGGATACAAACTTTGGATACAATTTATAAACAAGATACCCTAAGGAACATTTAGTTAAAGTTTGAAGGTAATTGGCCCAGTAGTTTCAGAGGAGAAGATTTTTAAATGTTAGCAAACTTGATGAACAAATTATGTAAAATTGTCTTTAAAGGGCAATAACTCCTTAAGGGGTCAATTGACAATTATGGTCATATTTACTTTTTTGTAGATCTTACTTTGCTGAACATTATTGCTGCTTACAGTTTATACATATCTATAATAATATTCAAAATAATAACAAAAAACTGCAAAATTTTGTTAAATCTACCAATTCGGTGGCAGCAACCAACAATGGGTTGTTCGATTCGTCTGAAAATTTCAGAGCTGATAGATCTTGACCAATTGAACAATTTTATCCAATGTCGGATTTGCTCTAAAAGCTTTAGTTTTTGAGATATAAGCCAAAAACTGCATTTGACCCCTATGTTCTATTTTTAGCCATGGCGGCCATGTTTGTCGATGGATCAAAATCTTCGGATACAATTTATAAACTAGGTACCCTAAGGAACATTTAGTTAAAGTTTGAAGGTATTTGGCGCAATAGTTTCAGAGGAGAAGATTTTTGAAATAGTTTACGACGACAGTCGACGACAGACGATGACGACAGACGACGGACGACGACGGACGCCAAGTGATGGCATAAGCTCACATGGGGCACTTCGGGCCCCGGTGAGCTAATTACGTACGGGGGTTTTCCGCGATATCGTCATCTGAACTCAGCCTTCACGCTTAACTTTTGAGTCCACAAGCCAGACGCTCAATATTTTGTAAATTTTAGTTGGATTCTGTTGGCTTGTAGAGTAGAGTTTTACAAGCCCGAAAGCACTTTTACAAGCCATGGCCGTAGGACTTGTGGTTAAGCGTGAAGACTGTGAACTTGTCATATTTATGCGCCGTCGTACCTCGGCTTTTTCAAATAGTTCTAGTTTTTGTTTCGTATTCCGTTTTATGAGAAGCACAGAAAGGTAAGTTTGTACCAAGTCAGGAATATGACAGTTGTTATCCATTCGTTTGATGTGTTTGAACTTTTGATTTTGCCATTTGATTGGGGACTTTCCTTTTTGAATTTTCCTCGGAGTTCAGTATTTTTGTGATTTTACTTTTTTGTAATGTTGTATGTCAAAATACTGATAAACGTACGAAATTTTTTATTCCTTATTATTAACGGAAAGGCCTTATCGATAGAGAAAAAAATCCTTTGTTTCATTTCAAAAATTGCGAAACTAAATGTAAATATTATTATAAGTAATAGGATAACTTTATTTGGTATGTGCGTACCTTGCAAGGTCCTCATACCCGTCAGACAGTTTTCACTTGACCTCGACCTTATCTCATGGATCAGTAAACAAGGTTAAGTTTTCGTGGTCAAGTCCATATCTCAGATACTATAAGCAATAGGTCTAGTATATTCGGTGTATGGAAGGACTGTAAGGTGTACATGTCCAACTGGCAGGTGTCATCTGACCTTGACCTCATTTTCATGGTTCAGTGGTTATATTTAAGGTTTTGTGTTTTGGTCTGTTTTTCTTATACTGTATGCAATAGGTCTACTATGTTTGGTGTATGGAATGATTGTAAGGTGTACATGTCTAGCTGGCAGGTGTCATCTGACCTTGACCTCATTTTCATGGTTCAGTGGTCAAAGTTAAGTTTTTGAGTTTTGGTCTTTTTTTCTAATACAATATGCAATAGTTCAACTATATTTGGTGCATGGAAATATTTTATGATCTATTAGTCAGTCACGCAGGTTTTATTTGACCTTGACCTCATTTTCAAGGTTCATTGCTCAGTGTTAATTTTGTGTGTTTTGGTCTGTTTTTAAAACTATAAGCAATAGGTCAACTATATTTGTTGTATGGAAGAATTGTTAGCTGTACATGCCTGCCTAGCATGATTCATCTGACCTTGACCTCATTTTCATGGTTCATTGGTCAATGTTTAGTTTACTTGGTTAATGTTAAGTTTATGTGACAGTTGTAATAAAGCTTTATATTTAGGACTATCAACATAATATCAATGATTAGTAAAGAAGGCGAGACATTTCAGCGTGTGCACTCTTGTTTAAACAACATTTGGGGTCTGTGTAGCATAGACAGATTTGCCACTCATTACAATACACATTGTTCGCGTTTCAATTCAGTTGTATGGTGCCCAGGAACTGAAGCAGTTGACAGTTTTAGTCAGTTTTTGGGAAATGACAACAATTGGTTGGTACCCCCACCTTCTTTGATTGCAAAAACAGTAAACAAAATGTGCAATGAGCGTGCTATAATGGTATTTTGATTATACCAGAATGGAAATCGGCGGCATTCTGGCATTTACTTTGTGCACAAGAAATTTTCAAGAGTTTTGTTTCAGATGCAATTTATCTCACAAATGACAAAGTTATAGTAAAGGGTGCAGGGAAAAACGGCATTTTCGGAAAATGGCCACTTAAATTTAGGTTGATCGCTTTAAATATCATGTTCTAATGATCCATATTTGCGATTTTCAGGTTTAGGACTGAGGCAACATGTTGTGAATATTGTAGACAAGAGTGGTGTAGGATGTTCGGGTGAACTTGGAAAATTAGCAGAAAAGATGTCAGTTTATCTAATTCAGTCTAAAAGTGACAATACCGCAAAAAAGTACTTTGCTAGTTACAATTGTTGGAGATCTTTTCCTCAAGGACACGGTTTTACCGAATTACCAGCTGATCCGATTCACGTTTCATTGTTTTTAACATTTTTGATTGACAAGAAGTCATCACCTTGTTCTTTAGATTCGATAATTTATGCTTTAAAGTGGGTACATGAACTTCATGGTTACGTTGATCCTACAAATAACTCTTACATTCATTTGTTATCTCAATCATGTAAAAGATTAAATGGAAAACAAGTCGTAAAGAAAGACCCTGTTAGCTCGGATATAATACTTGAACTCTGTAAGATTAATGAATTTGAAAATGACTTGCTTATTGTTAGAGATTTGACTATGATTTTGATAGGCTATGCTAGATTTTTGCGCTATGATGAATTAAGTTCTATTACATGTAGGGATGTTAAGATTTTTGATGATCATATTTCCATTTTTCTGCCCCGGTCCAAGACCGATCAATACAGACAAGGTAACGAGATACTTATTTCTAGAGGTGACTCTTTGGCATGTCCAGTCGTTATGTATAAGCAA